CATGACCTAGGAGGCACCCTGTAGCATGACGGACCATCAGGTCCTCAGGACACTCGCTATGGATGAAAGTACTCTCCATTTCTTCAATCCATGTGAGGAGTGCGGTGGCACCATCGGTGCCTTTGAAGTAAGGCGGATTGCAGTTACGAAAGTGCTTGAACGAGCAACGAGGAGTTGTTGCTGGAGCTTGTGGCTGAAGAGAATGAAGTTGGGTTGCAATTGTTGGGATGACGTTTGCTACCTCCTTGGCGACCAGGGCAGCTAGCCTTCTGTTGTTGCGAGCAGCGTATGGGGGTCGTAATGCCATCTACGAGAAACACGCATATGGACTTGTGAGTTATTTGTAAATTGATTATGGAAATAAAGTTTTTAGACATTGTTGGGTAAAATAATTGTAAAACACTTGTTGGGCCATGGTTAGGAGTGTTGGGCACCTTTTGGGCTTTCCATGGTTACTAAATGTGAAACATGTAGCACTTGCGTGGGCCCCCACAAAACTAAGTTTTCACATTTCTTTCCCACTTCTAGGCCCATTAGGGAACTTAATAGTCCAATGAGTTGGCCATTTTGGAGTGTATCCTTTCGGATACGTTTGATAAGGTCGGGTATTTTGATGGCTCAAAAGTAATGTGAATGACGCGCTTTGGCCTATAGGTTTGGGAACTCTCGCCTTTGGTCCCCAGATAAGCAAACTGGTCCCTCGGTTGATTGGGATGTATACGAATGCTTACCTAGTCAGGACTTTCGGGCTACCGGCACCTCCCCCTTCCAGTTACTACGCGTCCATTACTATGATCCTACCCAACTAGAGTGGATGACTTTGAATTTCCTATGAGCTCTAAGGAATACATATATGTATATACATTTTGTTAAACAACTTGAGTATGTGTGTGATTTTCAGAGAAAGTGGAGAATATTCACAAGTGTATGCACACATATAAGTGTCAGGAGTAATACGTATGCACATAAGGGAGCAATTAACACACAAAGGTATTCCTAGGATTTTCTAAGTGCGAATTGCATACAGTTGTGTGTGCATTTTATAAACTAGCATACGAGAGGACCCTAGAGGCTATAGACTAGGTCAAGGCAATTAACCTAATTCCCTATAGTCAAGGGCTCTGATACCAATCTGTCACACCCCGATCCTTGTCGGAATCGATCAAGGCGTGATATATTGTTCAAAGTCTCATGACAACTATGTTATAATATGATTAGATTCAATTAAGTACTAAGTATGCAAACAAGATCCACAACATACAAATACAAATCCAAATACGAACAACATTTATTACATCAAATTTAAATTGTCTTGTGGATTTCTAAGGCACAACCTATTTTTCATCATCTTCATTCTTCAAATCTGCATCATGGGTAAAAACAGGTCAACTACGAGAGTTGGTGAGTAATCTAATTTTAGTAGAGAAATTGTGAAGTTGAAACATTTATAATTTGAAATTTGTTTTCTTTTGAAGTCGACAAACAATTGTATTTGAGATAACGGTTTATAAATCAAAAATTGATTAACAAATGATAACAACAACAATAAGTCCTCACCCTATATATACATATGTATATATATATAAATATATATAGGATGGAGCATCTAATCATCAAACACACTCAACCACGTGCGATCAATCACCTTAGCGTCCCAAGGCGGGGTGGTCAACCCAATAGCGCTATTATTGTCCATAACGTACCTCAAGAATACGGGCATAGTCATGGAGATTAGACTAAAAATGATAATGCACTACAAGTACATGTAGCGTAAACAAACAATAGTTATACAATTAATGACTCACGTATAAATGTCCCAACAATGTCTCAATTGTGATAAAACAATAAAATGAAGTTGGAACATATTAGAACCACATGATACACCCCAAAAGTATTGAAAATTATAAAATATGGGGTAGATTACTCACTTAGTCCCAAAACGAAATGCGTGTGTCGTACGATAGACGATTCGGGTCAAAATGGCGTAGAACCTAATATAATTAATAGTTTTGGTTTAGGAACTGCTAAACGAGAATGGAGTATTAATAAATAATTAGACACATATTCTTATATTAGATGAATTAACAATAATTCATTTTGATTATAATATTAAGGTATTTATTTGTTAAATGAATTTTAAATTGAATTACTTACTTTGCATAATTAATTTATATTTTCAATTTAGGCCAGATTTTAATAATTTCTTATTAAAATAATAACTTGCCCAATTATAATTATTTACAGATTTTAACAATTATTTATATGAAATAATCATTAAAATGCATTTTTACATGCTTAAATACTTAGGAAAATAGTTTTAAATAGTAAACAGTATTGAAAAATTATGAAATTATTAGGAAATCATTATTTCATACAATATGAATTACTGTAAAATTTGTATATTTTTCTGAACTGTTTTAGTATTTATTTAATATTTTAATGATTAAACAACACAAAATTCGGGAAAAATAGTAAATGATTCTCAAAAAATCTGTAAAATTAACCATAGTTTTATAACATGATGTAGAGCCCAGTGTATAAGTTTCAGATATTTGTGACTATGGGAAGTATTTTTTATATATTTCATTATTAATTAATCAATAAAATCATAAATAATAGTAAACAGTAATATAAATGCATGAAACTTCATATATCATGTTTAATCAGTATACAGGTCATCCCAGAATTTTCTCAGAATTTATTGAATGCAACAAGTATTTTATGTGAATTATTGCCCTACTTTATTGCAATAATTATGATAATTCAATAAAAATAAGTTATTTTCTGAAAATTTCCAGAACTTCTTATTTTATTGATGGTATTCTGAGAAAAATCAGGTTTATGCAAAAAATGAGTTTTAGATATTTTGGTGGATTTAATTTGTTTCTTGTATGAATTTGAAACTTTTAACAACATACCTTGATGAATGCTTCAAGAGGGATGAAGATTTGAGTATAATAGATTGTTCTTGGATGGAATATGAGTATTCTTGGAGGAAATTTCGAGATTGAGAGTGAGAGAAAGAATAGAGAAGATTTAAGTGGTGAAGAGAATAATGTGTTGGGAGAAAAAGGAAAGGAAAGTGGATGGGAGGTGTGAGTGGGAGACCATGGGAATAATCTTTTTGCTTTTGGTGGTCTTCATAATTTCCCACTAACACAAGCATCTTTTACATAATTAATATAAGAGTTTTATAAAATTTAAAGTAAAGTTTATAAAAAATAGAGTTTTATAAAATTTAATGTAAAGTTTATAAAAATGGAGTTTTATAAAAGATAGGTTATTATTTGATTATAACAATCTACTTTGATTTGAAGTTTAATTAGAGAATTCAAGTTTGATTCTTTTAATTTAATAAGAGCATTATACTTTGATTTGATTTTAATATGGTATCATAATTTACTTTGATTATAGTTATAACGTTGTACAATACTATGTTGCTATTAACGTCAAGTTATATTGTATTGTATGGGTTTTGATCCTATTAGCGTCAAGTAATCTTGAGTAGGGTTTATTAAATTTCCAATTGGGTTGGGTTGACCCGAATTCATTTTAGGCGGATGTCACACAAGGTAATGATATCTAATGTTCACCAACCACTCAACCTCCTGTAATAGTATGTATCAAAAACACATTCCATTAAGATGCTTTGTAATATCTTATTCATCACCATTTCATATTCCCTCTCTGATTTCTCTATTTTGCAATATTTTGTACTTTGTATTAACTTTTTTATACAAAAAATTAGCACCATGGAGAAAATGCTAAAGAAATGAGATTCGTATACATTACAAGATGTATTAACAAGAGAAAAAACTCACCACTCTGTCCGGTTTTTGGCTTCCAGATGACTTCAATGAAGGCCTTTTTAGGGTTTTCGTTTTTCGTAGGTCCATAAACAACAACAATAACTTTTGTGTCACCTGATGATAGATTAAAAAGCATCATTCACAGAATAAGATTAAATAATCTCGTCATGAAACACTGATTCTTTATATCAATGTAGAAAAAGTTAAAGCACACCTCGTAATATGCTGCTGATGCAAGCATCTTAAAAGTATTGGCAATAAGATCTTTATTCAACTATCCAAATACAACTATCTACTTGCTTGTTTACTATTACATGCAGAGATTTTTCATGCTTCCTATGTCCTCCTCCTTTGATTGTAGCTTGAGATGAGAGATAAGATAAAGACTGTACCCAAGAAACAAGTGTTGGTTTCCGTGTCACATCATCTGAATCAACAACTTGAGCAAATAAGTCATTCAACACCATATTTTGTCCATCTTCAGGAAGCTCGACAACCATTTGTGCTAAAAGCTTCATCAAACTTGGCAACACCTGAACAACATAACAATAACAGATGCCATTAAAACCTTAACTTCCGATTAAAAAGATAAACCAGATTAATACCTGTATATCAAGTAGTGAAAGAAGTCTGAGAAGTAAATCTAGAAGCTTCTTGCATGGCTCTAACTCATCGTGTAAATCATTCCATGAATTTGGCTCTTTTGGGAATTCACTACAAAGACTACTTGCTTTTTCCACTAGACAATGAACACAGTAAAATATACAAGGACTTCCAGCAGGAAGATACCTAACCAATGATGCAACTCCAGATGTCATTCCTTCAAATGGTGTTACACCAGGATACCCCTATAATTAATCGAATTAAATAAATAATCAGTAATCAGTGAGTTTAGAACTTTAGATAATTGGATTTGGATTTGGATTTGAATACCTCTAAAGATCTCTGCATGTAATTGTAAACAAGAAAGGTGATTGCCCACTGATAATCAGAAGGATAGGCTTCCTGAAATCTACAATCTAATAGCAAGTTTATAAGGAAAGGAAAGTACCTGACAACGAGCAACGACACCGAAGTGAACTGATTCGACTTGGTATTTGCCCATTCCTTTCTTCTAGGGTTACTATTGGAGAAGCTGAACATGAAATTGAAGCATTTCTCCGGTGGTACGAGGGGTGGTGAAGAAATATGTTAGGAAGGCCGGTGTTGGTGCAGCTCTGACCGCTTTCGTTGAGAGATCTGAACATGTTCTTGACCGCCACTGTCTCGTGCCACTGTCTCGTGTTCGTAACCGCCACTGTCTTCCACTTCTCCCGACTCACTCTTCTGTTGCGACGATAGTTGTTCCTCAGGCGGCGATGGACGAGCTGAAGTATCAATTGTCGGAGGTGGAATGAAAGGCAGAGAGAGGCGGGATGAAGAGAACGAGAGAGCGTAGAGGTTAACGTGATTCATTCAATAAGTGGGTATGAATATTGTTATCCTAAAATGCCCCTGATCCATTTTAAAAACATGCCCCCGTCCCTTTTTTTTCTTAGGTATTTACAAAAATGTCACAATTCATCTTGACCTTCTATTATTTTGATCTAACGGCCCTTGTTTGGTTCTCGGGTTCTCCGAAAACTATAGGTTCTCAAATGATCCTTCATCTCTCTCTCTCTCTCTCTATATATATATATATATATATATATATATATATATATACACACACCGGTTCCGCCGGGTACCCAACGGGATTGCGGTTCTGTAAAAATGAGAACCAGAACCAAAGGTGGTTCCGGTTCTGGAATCGGCGGTTCCGAGATGGTTGTAGTTCCGAAAGAGGGAACCCTATTCCGCTGCTTATCCCTACCTGTGATCACTCCCTGACCTTAAACTGAGATGGTATCTCATCCTTGGCTTTCCATTCTTGTACATGTGTCACCCAAGCTGGGTTCGGATACAACCTCTTTGGGGCCACTAGAGATGCGGGTGGTGGTGTGCTTCGCTTTAGACTTCGAAAGGGTTATGGTCTTTTGTGTGGTTTGTTTCATGTGGGAACCACCTGGAAAGATTCAAAATGATTTGTCTGATGGTGGTGGTAGTGGATTATGGTCCTCAGTAATGAACTATGGCTCATTTTCGTTTGGATCCTCCTCGGAATACCACTTAACCTTCTCTTAAGTGACGGGCTCTGAATCCTCTTCTTTTGGCTCCTTAGAATAGTGCTCGACCTCCTTCTTGGTCTGCTCGTCGTCATCCTCGACCTTCTCATCCTCATACTCAGAGTAATCGAACTCATCATCCTTAGTGGGATGTACCGCCTCCTCCTCAGTTGGGTCGTCTTCCTTGGAGGACTCGGAAGGGTCCTCAGAGGGATCATATGCAGGTTCATTCGGCTCCTCAATTGGCTATGAGGAATTATCCACCTCGTACGACTCTTTGATGTAGGTCAAGGGATACAATGCTACCGGAACCATAAGAAAATGAGTATGCTTAGGTTCAGGTGAGTGGGGCACCACCTGATCCTCCTCTGGTAAAGGCAATAATATCGCCATCTATTCTCCAAGGTCTTCCATGACAGTGTTGTGATCCTGCATAAGAAATCTAACAAGTTAGTGCTTATGAGTGACAGTGTGAGGGTCTATATACAAATAATCTTAAATTATAAGTATGTAATAGATGTTATCGATGTTTCTAGTGAATCCTTATTTAGTCTATATCGGATATTACAAAAAATTTTAAAAAAAGTCGGCTCACAATCTTTAATATAACACATTGCTTTTGTAATAGTACTTGCTGCTTATATACACATTTATTTGTACAATTACATTGGTTTGAAAATTTTGGTTACAAGACCCACAAAAGTTTATCGTGGTAGGCAGTGGACAAGTTCGATATACTATCATCTGAAAGGCTATGCCAAAAATAGTAGGTAACAAGGACACTATACACTTGCATAAACAACCTTTTCCACATACCCCTATCCCAAAAATTCTTGGGCACAAACTGTCGGGTAAGTCTACCATAAAACGAAGAAAGTAACTAGTATAGAAACTAGGTCAACGAACCATTGTTGAGTAGAGTTGGCCCTCATTTATGTCGCATAGGCTCTAGCCTTTGCTGCGACCGCCCTCTACTCTGCAATCTGAGTTTGGAATTCCAATCTTGAAATCTAAGCCTTCTGGGTCCATAGGTGAATCTGGGTGGCATGTAGGTGATCGAAAGTAATATATATGGCCTCCTTATCTAGATTTCATTCCTTCTCTAAGATTTCGACCCAGTTAGATAGGCCCTTGATGTTCCCGTCAATAATCCATAATTTATCATTGACGGTGTGAATCTGATTGGCGTAGCGAGCGGTGCAAGCAACCAAGGTAGGTATATCGGGATCAAAAAATGTCTTGAGGAGAGGTGTAGGTGGTGGAGCCTGTGATTAGGGATAAGCGTAGGCGGGTATCCGCCCTATTTATCTGGAACCGAAACCGGAACCCACAGTTCCTAAAATGTTGGAACTAGAACTGAAACTGGAGGGTAGCGGTTCCAATACCAGGAACCGGTTCGTTAAATTTGTTGAATTTTTTAAAATTATAAAAGTATATCTAATATAAACTTACAAGTTATCGATAACATCAATATGTAATTCGCTATGCGTTAAAAATGTGGATTAGAAAATATAAATAGCTTTAATATATATATATATATATATATATATATATATATATATATATATATATATATATATATATATATACATACACACACATCGGTTTCGACGGGTAACCAGCGGGTAGTGGTTCCATAAAAATGAGAACCAAACGCACTTAAGGCCGTTCTGGTTCCGAAACCGGTGGTTCCAAGATGGTTCTAGTTTTGAAAGAGGGTACCCTATTCCGCTGCTCATCCCTACCTGTGATGACTCCCCGACCTTAAACTCAGATGGTATATCATCCTCGGTTTTCCGTTCTTGCAATTGTGTTACCTATGCTTGGGTCAGACACGAACTCTTTAGGGCCATTGGAGATGTGGGTGATGACGTGCTTCACTTCAGACTGCAAAGGGATATGGTTTTTATGTTGTTAGTTTCATGTGGGGACCACCTTGAAAGAGTTAAAATGATTTTCCTGATGATGGTGTTAGTGGATTCTGGTCACCAGTGATGAGCTCTGACTCATCTTCTTTTGGCTCCTGTTCAGAATACCACTCAAACTTCTCTTCAGTGGTGGGCTCTAAATCCTCTTCTTTTGGCTCCTCCGAATAGTGCTCGACCTCCTTCTCAGTTTGCTCGTCGTCACCCTTGGCCTTTTCATCCTCCCACTGAGTGTAATCGACCTCAATATCCTCAGTGGGATCTACCTCCTCCTCCTTAGTTGGGTCGTCTTCCTTGGAGGACTCGGAAGGTTCCTCAGAGGGCTCATATTCTAGCTCGGTTGGCTCCTCAGTTGGCTCTGTGGAATCGTCCTGCTTGTACGGCTCTCCGTAGTAGGTCAAGGGAGACAGTGGCACCAGAACCACTAGAAAATGAGTATGCTTAGGTTTAGGCAGGTGGGGAACCACGTGATCCTCCTCTGGCAATGACAATGGTATCACCATCTATTCTCCAAGGTCTGCCATAACAGTGCTGTGATCCTACATAAGACATCTAACAAGATAGTGTTTATGAATGATAGTGTGAGGATATATAAACAAATAATCTTAAATTATAAGTATGTAATAGATGTTACTGAAATTTCCAGTGAATCCATACATAGTGTATATCGGATATGTGACTCGGAACTATGTCTCCAATCCCAAAGAAATCTTAAGTATTTAGATTGCCAACTACCATATCTAATCTCAGTCATTCTTCGGTCAGACGATAATAAAACTTAGGTGTTCAAGTTAGGTCTAGTTGTGGTTCGGTCGCTATATATATATATCATAGTTGACCTAAACACATCAAGGGTCTGTACTAACTTTAAATATCATAGTTGACCTAAACACATCAAGGGTCTGAGTTTATATATATATATATATATATATTATATATATATATATATATATATATGATGTTTGTTTGTATTTTTGATTGATTTTTGTTTAGTACTTCAAGACTATCAAATAATGATCGGCCAGTCAAGACCGTCGGAGGGTAGGAGGATTTCAACGTATATTTTTAATGAAATCCAACAACCCTACACCACGTCCATCCTATACACCTCTCCCGTGAGTAGTCAATCAGTAGTGTAATTAATAATAATACTTGTTATTCCTAGTTTTAAGGGATAAACCTAATTAGTGAGCCTAAAGCTATAGTCGTAATTTCATAAGAAAATAATAGTTTTCTATAGCCAACAACTTTGATACCAATCTGTAACACCCCTGGTCGGCGGCTGAAACGCCGAGTTATGCAACGTTGTCATGGTTTACATATATTGATTACATTGAACAATATTCAAAAGTATAACATAAATAATACATCCATTTCCAAATAAAATATTACATATCGTACTAAGTTTTAGCATAATCAAATAATAAAGTACATGCAACGCCTTAAAGAAGTAGGCAGAATAATAACAATAATAACAGAGACAAAGATTCCATGAATGTTTCCAAAAAGATTGAAACGTCTGAATTTTAAGTTCATGAGAATACATGTGATTTGAAAATGTCAACATAAAGTTGGTGAGTTCGTAGGTTTGTATATTTGTATCAAACATACTTTTCATACCAAAAGTATATGTTTTTATCGTATATAAGTATTTTCAACTTATATTTATATGTTTACTTTTAACCAGAAAGTAATTGTTTTAGTCTATATGTAACACCCAAAACTTTTTACATATATTATAATGTTATTTTCTAGGAATTTATCAGAGTATTATACAGCATCATTAGAAAACAAAAGTTTCAAAAAACATATAACATTTTTCCGTAAAATTAGCTGGTGTACAAACCATATCAAAACCATAATTAAAGTGACAAGATTACAATGTACACAATATGTATCTTGTCCATACTTTTGCTGCCACTATCATTACTCGTACTAAGGTTTTGTACCTGAACCTGGAACACATGGAAAATAACAATTATCGGACAACACGTCTGATGAGTTATAATTCAATACAATAATTAAATCACTATAAACCATGTCGACCAAAATATGGTTTCATCAATAACTATGACTATCCATACTATGGTCCCATCAATAATTTATAGCTATCCATATTATGGTCACGTCAATAAATTACTGCTATACATACTGGATAGCAAATCATCCATATGGCCCCGTCTTGGTCCATAAGGACCGTTGGGCAAGCTTGCAATCTCTTTTCTATTTATGTTTTTTTTATGTTACCCAATATTTATGTAACTACACAATACAATTTTACAATCAATTGAACAATACCTTTCAAATTCCAACAAGTTCAATAAATACTTATTTTATTAAGCACAACATACAAGCTACGTATTCCTATTTTACAAGGTTTTACAAC